AGTGCTTTTATTTCATGCGTGTCTTCATGACAGAGCTCTTCTCTGCTCGTATCAACACAAAGGGCCAGCTCAGGGCTGTCATTTTATGTATTTCTTTTACATGGATTTTTTAAAAATCTATCTGACCAAACAAATGGTGACGTTAACCCTGACTTAATATATTATTTTGTCCTCTGCATGAGGCATCCCACAGAGCTGGGAAAAGTCAGGATTGCCAGGAAGCTGAACCTAGTAGAGCTTGATGCTCGGCAGTGTGAGGGTCAGAGAGATTTGTCAGGTTGGTTGACATCAGCCTTGCCTGGGGATCTCATCAGTTCTGGTGTGCCTTTTAAAACCATGAGGAAGTTTTGAATTATTTCCATAAAAGAAAAATTCTCCGTTTCAGAAATACATTAAAAGGCACACTTTTATTGGAAATGTAAATAGTCACTTACTTTTCCATGACAGTCACCTTCATCATTGATATTCACTTCATGATGAGAATTCTATAGACAAATGAAGGTCAAACCTCCTTAGACTCCTCTCATGAGGAAAACTATTATTTTTTAAAAGGTTATCAATGCACACATATGTAGACATATAAATATTTATATGGAAACTTACCACCTAGTCGGTGAATAAAAATGGGAATAGAAATGAGGTGCTCTGGGAATCCTTCCTGTGTGACTGTACTTTCAAATCAGGAGAGCGCCGTTTCTTTTGCCATTTGTATCCCTGTGTCTAACTGGGAAAGGTCAATATTTCATATAACATAAGCAACAAAGGACTTTGGATTCTTTCTCAGTTTACGGAAAGGAAAACATGTGAGGTCCCAGAAGGTTAAGTGACTTAAGATCACATTGCTGGGTTAAACCTAAAACACATTTTTCTGGATTCTCAATCCAGTCCTACTTCTGTGGTATTGGAAGTATTGATCAGAATAATAATCTATGGTATTGAAAAAGGTAAAAAGTTACCAGATTAGCTAGTAAAAATAGAAGGTATTACAGTAGTAAATTTAGTAAACTAGGAACATGAGCCAGACCTTAGAGGAAGAGAAAGACCACAGCTAAACTGTGGAATTATTTGCACTCTGCTAGGCCACAAGAGAAGGGCAGAGAAGTGCACAGTAGAAATCCAACCACAAAAGGTAAAGGTCTTTGGTCAAAGCTGCACCATGTGTTTGCCTCTCAGGGCTGCCCTAGAAATTGCCCCCCCCCCCCACCTTATGATTCAAAAGAAAAAGATCCTGGGGATCCTGGGTGGCTTAGTTGGTTAAGCTTCTGACTTTGGCTCAGGTCATGATCTCACAGACCCCACGATGGGCTCTGTGCTGACAGCTCAGAGCCTAGAGCCTGCTTTCGATTCTGTGTCTCCGTCTCTCTTTGTCCCTCCCCCATTCACTCTCTCTGTCTGTCTGTCTGTCTCTTCCTCAAAAATAAACATTTAAAAAAATTTTAATTTAAAAAAGAAACACAAAAGAAAAAGATCCTAATTTAAAAAATGAAGTAAATTGAGACAGAGCTACATATGGCCTAGGAAACACTATCTTGAGGGAAAGTCTGGGGAGGGATTCGGTAGAATTGGGCCACAAACAGATACTGATGTCATCATGGGAAACAAAATGATTTCTGGGGGTGCCTGGGTGGCTTGATCAGTTAAGCGTCTGACTCTTGATTTTGGCTCAGGTCATGATCTCACAGTTTGTAGGTTCGAACCCCACATTGGGCTCCACATTGATGGGGGAAAGCGTGCTTGGGATTCTTTCTCTCTCCTTCTCTCTCTCCCCCCTCAATTCTCCTGAAAACTACAGACTGAGGTCACAGGGCTTGTTGGTCTGTGCTTCTCCCCTGACTTTGCTCAGGGGCAGTGTTACGTGGAAATCAGGAAGTCATGTGCTGTATTGCCTTAGTGTGTCCTGGCACTGGAGGCTGGAAGGGAACTGTAGACATTCTGGCCCCCGGGCCTGGGATAAGCTGGGAAAAGCATGAATGCCTACAATAAAGCATTCATGCCCACCTCATACTGCAGCATTTTAAGTCCTATTACAGGACCACACACTTAATCTTCACAGAAACTTGTAGCACGGGCAGCAACTACTAACCCCTTTAGAGAAATGTACAAGCAGGCTCAGAGGATTGTATATTATTTGTGGAAGATCAAACTATATGTGGCAAGGTCAGAGAATCCAAATTTCTGATTTCTCTTTTCCATTTTATTAAGCAGACTCACCATCAAAATGGAGTAAAAAAAAAAATCACAATCCACAGTTAATGCAGATATTTTTCAAAAGGCATTAGCTCCCATTTCAAGAAAGTTACATGTTTAAAGTTTTCTTTCTAAATAGGTTCCCTTTTAAACGGCAAACTATTTTCTATTTAGTTTCCCTTCTAAATGTTTTTCCCAATGGAAATAGAAACTTTTGACATGAGGCAGCCTGGTCTTTATGTCTGGCTTATATTCATTTTCTCTCTCTCTCTCTCTCTCTCTCTCTCTCTTAGTTTTCTGTATTTTTTTTAAGTAAACTCTATGCCCAACATGGGGCTTGAACTCAAAACTCTGAGATCAAGAGTCACATCTCTACCAACTGAGCCAGCCAGGCACCTGATGTCTGATTTGTTCTAACTGTCACATCTAGTGACTACAAATAAAATAGATCACTTTTCAAATCTAGATCTTAAAGTTAATGGAACGGGATACATTTGGTAACCTGTTCTGTTAACATTCTAAAATTGAACACAGTGATAGGAGGCTCAAAAACTAGGCTATACAAACCTTTTGGTAGTTACTTAGTACTCTTGCAAGATGACCACAGTAGTAGCAGTTAAGATGTAACTGCTTCCTGTCTCCTGAAAACACCTGCTCTAGGTAAGACACAAAGCTATCCATAGAAAGGGCAGTAACTGTTGTGACAACCTTTGGAACACATTTGTAGGGGCATGTCCCTACATGTGACATGGCAGGGCATCCTTTCCTTTGGTTGGTCCTCTCATTTTCAAGTGAATGGAAGAATAAAGCTAATTACTTTGAAAGGCATCAACAAAGGTTAATACGTTCCATTTTTATGAGAGTTATGCTCTTTGTACTCTGAGGTTCTCTTATAAACTTATAGGACCTAGAGCCTTTGAGCTACATACTATATTTAATTAATCCAATGGTTAAAAACAGAGTTATTCATTTATCAATGGACACTTGGGTTGCTTCCATATCTTGGCTATTGTCAATAATGCTGCAATAAACAAAGAGGTGCATATGTCTTTTCCAACTAGTGTTTTTGTTTTTGGGGAGTGAAGAAGATGTAATACACACACACCTACACACACACACACACACAATGGACTATTACTCAGCCATAAAAAAAGAATGAAATCTTGTGATTTGCAAAAACATGGATGGACCTAGAGGGTATAATACTAAGCAAAATAAGACAGAGAAAGAGAAATATCACCTGATTTCACTCATATGTGGAATTTAAGAAACAAAACAAACAAATAAAAAGAGACAAACAAACAACCAGACTCTTAAATACAGAGAACAAACTGAGGGTTGCTGGAGGGAGAGTGGGCAGGGGGATGGGATAAATCATTGATGGGTATTTATGGAGTGTCCTTGTTGTGATGAGCACTGGGTGTTACATATAAGTGATGAATCACTAAATTCTACTCCTTAACCTAATATTATACTCACTATATGTTAAATAATTGGAATTTAAATTAAAAACTTGAAACAAAACAAATAAACAAACAAAAGAGGCAAAAAAAAAAAAAAAACAAAACACCCAGATTCTTAAATACAGAGAACAAACTGGTGATTCCTAGAGGGGAGGTGGGTGGGGAATGGGTGAAATAGACAAGGGAGATTAAGAGTACATTTATCTTTTTTATTTAAGCATTTGTTTAATATATATTTTTGAGAGACAGAGAGAGAGAGCAAGCAAGCAGGGGAGGGGAGGGACAGAGGGAGAGGGAGATACAGAATCCAAAGCAAGCCCCAGGTTCTGAACTGTCAGCACACAACCCGACGTGGGGCTCAAACTCACCAACCATGAGATCATGACCTGAGCCAAAATCAGACACTTAATCAACAAAGCCACCCGGGTGCCCCAATAGTATACACTTATCTTGCTGAGCACTGAGAAATGTAAAAATTGTAGAATCATTATATCAGACACCTGAAACTAATATAATACCATACGTAAATTACACTTGAAAAAAAATTTAATGAAAACAAAAAGCAAAAAAAAAAAAAAAGACAGAAGTTACTCTCTTGACAGAGGAACTCAGCATGAAATATGGTTTGTCTATTTGTTGCAGGCTTATAATAAAAAATATGAATAATGCACCATTAAGTTAGTATGTTCAATGAAGAAAACAAATGTAGAAAACTATTTTAAAAGCCCTAGCTACCCTTGTGATGAGCATAGCATAACATACAGAGATGTTGATTCAGTACATTGTACAACTGAAACTAATGTAAATTAGGTTTCAACTATACTCATATAAAAACATTAAATGAAAGTAAAATAATATTAATACAATTATAAATATGTGCTATGAAGAAAATTTTAAATAAAAATAGTCATTAAGAATACTTCTTCTGAGACAGGCCAGACAACATTCACATGAAAACTGCACATGTCAAAAAAAAAACAACAACAAAAAAAAAACAATCCTTTTTTGACAGACACAATTTGACATGTGCAATAGGAAATAAAAAAAAAATTCTATTAATTTTATGAATGTGTATATGTTTGTATGCCCATACATATAGATAGATATGTATGTATGTTATAAATAAATATTTCCTGGTGGACAGCCATCATTAATATTATAGTTGCATTAATTTTCCCCCTGAAGTAAACAAATACTACATATAATATCTAAATTTTCTGTATTCATGAATTTGTTTCACTCAAAAGAGAAGTAACTCTTGCTCTAAATCCATCAAAAGTGGTGTTTATCCAACATTATGAACATGTCTTCCAGTTAATGTTTGAAATGGGTGAAGTTAAAATTTCTTACCATCCAAGCTGTGACAAAGTCCCCCATCCAGGTCCCTACTGCAGCTAATTTCATGAAACTTTCATTTCGGATGCCCATATAGTCTGTAATGATATATGCTCTGTGGAAACAAACACACAAGACATTGTCCAGACTGAGAGAGCTACATCGTCAAAGAATTCTGGTTCAGCAACACGCAAAGGGACTTCCCTCCCTTTCAACAAGATCTCCCGCTTTTGTCTCATCACATATGCTTACAGATCTGAAAGGCTCAGAAGAGCTCTGGGGGTGTCTGGGTCAGTTCCAATTAGATTTGAAGGCTGGCTGTGGCTATACCAATTACCACGTGCATTTCATTTTCAAGCTGTAAGACTGACAACAGCTTTTGGAAAATCAAACAGAGGTACTCAGCAAAGGCATCATTTCACGCTCACTCAGGTATGAAGAGAGGGGAAACAATTCCTGAGTTAGAGTAACTTGAAAGGGAAGAGAAAAGCTCACTTTTCTTTCAGTTCTGTCAAATCAGAACTATTGAAGACATACTGGGACTAGGCTTTACATAGAATATCATACCTGAACAATAGTCAAAAAAAGGTGCATTTGAGAAAAATTTTAATGCAATGAAGTAACGTAAAATTTGATTCAAATATATGTGGTTTAAATTATTACTTAAATAAATAACAATAACCAGAAGATTTTATTTCACCTCTTTTTGTGTCACAATTTCTTGTCCACTTCCTATAACACTAATTCATGTTCTTTACAGCCCAAAGAGAGTCAAAGGCATGACTGATCATTAAATACAAGTAACAAGACTATATTTACTGCATGTAATTTCATTTCTTTCTTCTTATTTGATTTCAAGAAAATCTAAGTATTATTTTCCTATGGTACAATTTCTCCAGGAAAACTGGGACACAGGGAGATCACTTAACTCACCCAATCAATACCACATAACTGATGAATGGTAATTAGGAATCAAATTTCCCTCTCTCTTTTTAAGTCTAAGGTTTTTTCGCTCAGATTTTTTTTACATTAAATTTTGTTCCTTTTCTTAAACATAAGAGTATTAGTTAACCTTGATTCTTCTTAAATGAACTTTAAAATAAGATACAGTAGAAAATGATATGTTTGTTATTTAGTGAAACTATAAAGAAATACATTTTTGAAGTCATTGAGAGGTAAATCATCTCCAATTTAGTTTTTTTTTCTGGAGTTATTTCAGATAGTTTTTTTTATCCATAATATAAACAAATATTTAAATGGTTTTACTTAACAAAAATAAACTTATGAACTCTTGAAACAACTTTTTCCCACATGCTTCATTCACCAACCTTAGAAGATCTTTATAAAAATCTTAAGATCTCACCTCAAAATCCTGGGTCTCTATTCCATGGATTTCCATAATGGCCAAAGAAATCATAGCTATCATAAACTGCTTGCTTACAATATTCCAGAGATCACTATTTGCACTTTAAATACAGTGTCTCCAATACCTTCCAAGTCAGCACAATGAAATGTATTATGATTCCTGTTTCACACATATGGAATTGAGGCTTCAAAGAGTTTTTGCAACTTTCTCAAGGTCAAGCATCTAGTAAATAGACAAGGTTTGAATCTAAATGATTGTCTCCCAAATGCAGGCACTTAACCACTATGCTGTATCTTCTTCCTATAAGGGTTAGTGAGATATAAAAAACACAAAGAATATCTATTCTGTTCCCCAGTAATTTAGAAGACATGAAGATAAAGACTTATATCCTTTGAGGATAATTCATAACAGAAGTCAAGAGCAGCATGCAGAGGCTGCAGCCCCCCAGAGTGACGATGAGTCTTGGATTCCCACCAAGTTCACCAAACTAAACAGCCTATGCATGAAAGCCCCCAAGTTAACTTGGACACCTTGGTCTTACTCTCCTCAGTATCACTATTACTGAACAGTTCTTGAGCAGTGAACTCAGTGTACTTTAGAGTATTAGCTCTGATAACTGTCCAGCTCTTTCAGTGACATTTCAAAGGATGTGTTGAATGCCACATCCCTATCTGTTACTTTGCCAGTGAGTTCTAGAATCCATTGAACTAGGATGGAAATTTTGGGGTACATCCTTTGTGGTAATATAGGTATGTATAAGAGAAGACAATCTCTTATTTCAGTATCTAAAAATAGGGATGAAATGAGGGCACCTGGGTGGCTCAATCGGTTAAGTGTCCAACTTCAACTCAGGTCATGATCTCACAGTTCATGAGTTTGAGCCTCTTATTGGGCTCTGCATCATAGCCTGCTTCAGAATCTCTGTCTCCCTGTCTGTCTCTCTGCCCTGCCCCTTCTGGCAGAGTCAGTCAGTCTCTCTCTCTCTCTCTCTCTCTCTCTCTCTCTCTCTCTCTCTCTCTCAAAAATAAACACTTAAAAAATAAATAAATAAGTAAAATTAGGGATGAGATAGATAAGCTTGCAAGAGATCAATGATCCAGCCAAGAACTACAAAAAATCTAAATAAAATATTGGCAGTCTCAGTGAGTTGGAGAGACAACATTAGAAACTTAAAGAGCCACGATCCTCATCTTGAAGGGGTCCAGAAGGAAGTATGATACACAGCTGGCTTTACTTTCAAGACATTTGTCAAATTATGAATTATGTTCGGGGGGAGGCTAAGAGACGAAGCAGAAAGTCTGTGAGAAGCACAGCAGAGCTTTGGCAATTTTACCACGTTAAGGAGACTATTGTACTTCAGATCCTGCCAGAAGGAAAGGACCAAGAGAACACGCAGAGCAATGGAAGGCTAGAGAAAACCAGAGATGGATGGGTCCTTGATAAAACTGAATCAGTCCTTCCCCACTCCATTTCATGACTGGATTAAGGTGATGAGCTTCTATTCTACCCATCCAACAGAGGAAAGAGTGAACATTTTCTAGAAGAATAAAATATCATCTAGATCCTCTACGTGTTTTTATATAGAACATCCATCAGACATTGAAATATTACTAAGATATCAAGAAACAGGGCCATACCACCAAAAATCAAGAGAAAAGCCATGTCTAAGACTTGATAACAACAGGGAGTTATTTTGGCTATCCTTTTCACCTTCATTCCCCAGCACTTAGAGCACTGCCTGCATATAATAAGTGATCAGTGAACATTTGTTTAGTGTATGAATTAATGAAGTGAATCAAGTTATTCATGTTTCTGCATGGCATGGGTAGATCTATGTATGTGAAACCCTAGAAACAGCAGTAAAGCGATATTTGAACTGTGGGCATGTGGTGAGTACTGAATACTACGGTAACAATGAAGATGAGATAGCACAACTTATGAAATAACTACTATATATATATATATAGGCTATATAAAAGGTAGTAGGTAGTAGGTATTCTGGCTTTTGCTGCTTTAGAGAAATATACAGAAGAATTACAAATTTGCTGCCTGACATAAAAATTTGCAACTACTAGCTCATTGATCTGCATACCCTATAACAGTAATATTTCCTGTACTGGTTGCAAAGGACAGAGTGTGCTTATGTTTATATAAGCAATGTTAGCCAGTTTGAATATCACATTGAACTCTAATAAAGTGAAGCTGTGAAGCTTCATACCTAATGTTTTAGGGAGTGATTCAGAATAAAATTCTATTTGCTAGGAGGCACCATTAACATTTTTAGTTTTGCTTGGAGTTGTAGCTAATTGTTTCAACTATTCCTACATCTTTTGTTTGTTTTGTTTTATACTTTAGCTAATTATTTCCACTGTGCATAGATCTAGAAAATCTTGCGGTTAACCAGCCTTCCAGGTAAATATCAATAATATCTTTAAAATATCATTTCTTTAAAAATTCTAAATGAATTTCTTTACAGGCTATGCCTTCAGTTTTTATTTTTTCTTGAGATCTCAAGCCTAACTGTCAAATCCATAACAGGTGGGTGTTAACAGCAATATACAGGACCTTAGAAATGTTCATAATTATCATAATAGCCTGAAAAGCTATCAAGACTATTGTACCTAGTGAAAACTATGTACTCAATGGGCATAAACGAATCAGGCTCTAAATAGTCAATAAAACTATAATCTAGTAAATTGATCTTACAGGGGAGAGTCTTGATCACTAGCAACAAAAGTTCCAGTTCACTTCAGTCTATTACTTATATGTACATGAATATAGTCAATGCCAGGTGATTTAGGAGTTGAGTTTCTGAAAGTTTAACAGGAGGCAGTAAACATAGATCACCAAACCAATATGGATTCATGCTTCACTGAAGATCCATCTGTGGCCAGCTGGATTCATAATGTCACAGCTGTCTCTCCCAGCCATGTTTGGGCAACATAAACAAGATTGGGGGCTTCATACACAAGTAAATCATAGATAAGGAGTTGAGTTACATGAGGACAGTCCTGAATTAAACATAATGAAACTAAAGTGAAAATTCTAAGTATTCTTACAACGTTGGGGAGAAAATTTGTCACTATAAAGCACCGGGAGTTAAACCTGGATTTATTACGATTTAACCTTCTGTCAATCCTTTTGTGTTTGTAATGAAATGATTAACAGTCTTCAATCCAGTCTATTATCCAAATAACCACATTTTAGCATTTTTGCTTAAAATTCCTAGTTCTTGCTTATTGAAAGGCTTTGATGGAGCTCAGTACACGTGTATAAACCTCTCAGGCAGGAACTAGGGTATAAACCTACAAAGCAAGATCCATTGGAAAGTCAAAATCCTACAGATAATTGTTAGGAGTAGCCTGGAATGATTAAATGTGCCTCTAGGCCTAAGAGTTCTTGGGGCGCCTGGGTGGCGCAGTTGGTTAAGCGTCCGACTTCAGCCAGGTCACGATCTCGCGGTCCGTGAGTTCGAGCCCCGCGTCAGGCTCTGGGCTGATGGCTCGGAGCCTGGAGCCTGTTTCCGATTCTGTGTCTCCCTCTCTCTCTGCCCCTCCCCCGTTCATGCTCTGTCTCTCTCTGTCCCAAAAATAAAATAAACGTTGAAAAAAAAATTAAAAAAAAAAAAAGAGTTCTTACAGATAAAATACCACCTCAAATTTCCCAACTTCAGCCATATATCCCCTCTAATTTTTATAAGGAAGACGTATATAAAAAGACTACAGATGGAGTTTTCATTGAACAAACTC